TGTAGTCTTAGCTACTCGAGAGGCTGAGGCAGGAAAATGGCTTGAGCCCAGGAATTTGGCTGCAGTGAGTTCTGATCACACCACTGTGTTTCAGCCTAGGCAACCACAGAGGGAGACCCTGTGTGTCAAAACAAAAAAATCACTGTTTAACATTTATATAATGTCAAAACTGATTATGCTGGGTGCAGTGGCTCACACCTATAAACATTGCACTTTGGGAGGCTGAAGCTGGCAGATTGCTTGAGCTCAGGAATTGAAAACCAGCCTGGGCAACATGGTGAAACCCCATCTAAAAAAATATATATATATAAAGAAATACAAATTATTGGCTCTTCTTCCTTCCATTCTTCCCTTCCCTTCCCTCCCTCCCTCTCTCTCTCTTTCTCTCTTTCCCTCTTTCCTTCCTTCCTTCTTTATTTTTTCCTTTCTTTCATTTCTTTTTCTTTAGACAGGATCTTGCTCTGTCACCCAGACTGGAGTGCAGTGGTACAGTCTCTGCTCACTGCAACCTTCATCCCCAGGCTCACGCGATCCTCCCACCTCAGCCTCCTGAGTAGCTGGGACCACAGGTGTGCACCACCATGCTGGCTACTAAAAAGTAGAGATGGAGTCTCCTTATGTTTCCCAGGCTGGTCTTGAATTCCTGAGCTCAAGTGATCCGCCTGCCTTGGCCTCCAAGTGCGGGAATTATAGGTGTGAGCCACCTTGCCCGGCCAAAACCCCGTCTCTACAAAAAATACAAAAATTAGCCAAGTGTGGTGGTGTGTACCAGCAGGCCTAGCTACTTAGGAGGCTGAGGTGGGAGGGTCGCTTGAGCTGGAGGGATTGAGGCTGTAGTGAGCCATTATCCCACCACTGCACTCCAGCCTGGGTGACACAGTGAGACAACGAGACTCTGTCTCAAAAAAAAAAAAGCAAAAACAAACTGATTATATTGAAGTATTGTAAAGCAAATAATAGCCATGATGTCACCCATAAAACCTAATAATGGCCGGGCGCGGTGGCTCACGCCTGTAATCCCAGCACTTTGGGAGGCCGAGGCGGGTGGATCACGAGGTCAAGAGATCGAGACCATCCTGGTCAACATGGTAAAACCCCGTCTCTACTAAAACTACAAAAAATTAGCTGGGCATGGTGGCACGTGCCTGTAATCCCAGCTGCTCAGGAGGCTGAGGCAGGAGAATTGCCTGAACCCAGGAGGTGGAGGTTGCGGTGAGCCGAGATCGGGCCATTGCACTCCAGCCTGGGCAACAAGAGCGAAACTCCGTCTCAAAAAAAAAAAAAAAAAAAAAAAAACC